CAGATCCTGCTCATACAGTCGATATATGCAGAGTACCTGGCACGGAGTTTGACGCCGGTTTGCGTGATGTCATGCACCCAAGCAGTTATTTAGGAGATGAGTGTGAAAGGATGTCGACACGTGGTGGACGGGCATACGAATGGACGGCAGGCGCGCTAGGCGCACGCGACCTGGCAACGCCGACCAGAGAGTGGTAATCCGCGGCATAGATGGGTAAAACCCGACATGTACCTCATGGTGATCGGATTACTATTAGGAGCACTTTTGCGACCGACTATCGTCCACCAGCTGTGCCATATTTACCGTTGCCGTGTCTGACTACCTCCCCTGCGGGCTCAACAGCAGCGCCGTTATCGCATCAACACACGCATAGAACTTTTGTCCCACCTCTGGCTGAGCGAGGTATGCTGAAGTCTTCTCCTTAATCAGATCTTCGTGACTCCACTCCTCCAGTGGCACATCTTCCAACCCCGTCACATCAAACCGAAAGTACTTCATCCAATTGCGCTCCATCAACGCAGCATGTTCGGCTTCGAATCTATCACCCCACGATCTTGCTTCAGCCTTCCTATCCTCAACGCTATTCGCCATCTCGGGAATCTCATTTTTGCGGTTCAGGCCGACGCCCGTACCGACTGAGACAATGATCATCATGTCGTTCGCATATCGGAACAGCTTCCTGCATTCATACAGGATGTCGCGGACTGGATTGTTCTTTGTAGTCCCATGGTCAACGAGACCCTTTTGAATCACGAAGCGTTGCGGTACGCCTGGCTCGGATTGCACATATCGTGGGGCCGCCGAGGTCGCCTTCATCGCTTGCCATATGGGCATGTTGGGTTCCAAGTCCGGTCCAGTTATGCGCCGTGTTTGGTAAGATCGGATAAGGGCAGCTTTGTTCGTGCCTTCAATTCGTTAGTGAATTTTACTACGCTTCTCACTCCAGTACGTGCCGATATCCATTTGTGTCGTAATTGCGAAACTTTATCGAGTCAGTATGTACGTCGCGGATGAATAGGCTTTACTCACACGTCGCCCGAGTCGGGCCGTCCATCTAGGAGTACTTCGTCCGGGTTGCCTAGCTCCTGCTGAACCACGCTCTTGATTTCGTTCTCTAACGCGCTGTCGTCAGGCTTCTGTATCTGTGCATGAGGGTCGAGATATCTGAAGTAGGCCCTTTTATTGTCGAACACTTGCTTCGCGATCTGTTTGTAAGCTTCTCTTGCTCTGTGGGCTTGCATGCGCAGTCGACATAGCATGATGGCTATTATACCGCCAAGAGAACTACCACCTGTCAAGTCAAAAATCTGGTGGCTGTCTAAGCGCTGCCCAACTTTGACGCAGATCGCGTTGACCAGCGATTCAACTAAAAGGAGAGCAGATAAGCCCCGGATACCGTCACCGTCAATGGAAAGCAGAATCTTCGTCTCTCTCGTTCTCGAAAGGATGGCTGGTAGAGGTGCTGCTTGGTTTGGTGTCGGATCACGTAAGGCGGGATCGATGTACTGCGAAGATGGGCGCATATTGTTTTCAGGAGCTGCTTGAACAGTGGGAGTCGATTCTGGCGGTATTTGGGTGGCGCCAGTTGGCGCCGCAGCTTGAAATGCGTACGGGGAAGCATACACGGTTGCTGTCGTTGCTGACGAAGGCGTACTATGATCGCGTGGCGAGCCGGGAACAGCATTCTCAACTACCGTTGACGGTGAAGGTGTCATGAGACCTGCTACCGTAGTATGGGTGACAATCGGTTGTGATGGAGCCTGGCCGTATATGGGAGCTAGTGATGGAGGCCCTGTAGCAGAGGGAGGTGGAGACGGCCATGGAATGTATCCAGAGTAAGGATCCCGGATAAGTCGCAACTCTGCTTCTTCTGCAACGCGTCGGACATCCGGATCTTGAGCTTTGCTTCGATACGTTAGTCTCACTACGGGTGATATCTGGAGAAGACGCGCGACGTACTACTTCACGTAGCTGACGTCCCAAGGCTCCCAGCGACCGGACAACAAGAACTGTATCGAGGAAGGAAAGGCGGAGTCATGAAAGTAGTGTGTGCCCTCTACCGCCGAGTAGCGGACACAGCTGAAGTCCACCGGAGTCCACGACATGCTGTTGTATAGTGGTTATAGCGCGTACCAGTGGCCAAACCGGTAGACGGAGAGCTGGAATTGAGGCAGCACTCAGCCTTGTACTGGCAATCTAGTGAGAGCAGCGGTGGATCAGACGGCAGTCCTAAGAAACATGCGGTAAGCCACTAGCTGCCGCTGGGAGCTAGACCGTTAATCAGGATGAAGTCGCTTCTGAGAAGGGCTATTGTATAGCCAATCGCTACGCGACAAACGGCCCGCCTGCAAGGTATGCTCTGCGCCAGCTCGTCAAAATATGCTGCTATGCGTAGCGCTTCAGCGAGAATGCGGCCGCGTTTGACCGGCCAGGCGAGGCCCTGTACGGGCAACGTGTATGGACGAGGCCGCTCGGCAATTGGGCAGTTTGATGGATCTGTGAGACAAGGGCTTTGTGATACCCGGCCCATTCCTGCGTGTGCGTTCGTCACGAAAAACTCCCATCGCAGAGGCGATCGGATCGATCGCCAGGCTCAAAGTATACTGATAAGGGAAGATCTCGGGTCAAGGGTGTATGCAACTGCTGAACATCGCGACTGCCTAGGTGAAGACGGGCGATTCGCTAGCGGCTAGTGCATGACCATCGCTGGATTGGTCCACGCCCGCGGCCCGCAGCGTTCCGCTTGCTCGGCTCTCCCCCTCAACAGCTTTTCACTCTTCAGCCACACAGAACCCTTTCGCGACACGAATAGATTTGGACAGCATCTTGCGGCGTTGAGCTTAAACTTGAACTTTCCCGAAAGAGTTGGCGTGAACGACTGCACGGTGACGGCGTATTCGAATAAAGAACCTGGTCCCACCTGAGCAACGTTGGGGAAACCACTACAAACACCATTCGTCCAGAATAGACATGGAGTCAGGACAGAATCCACTCGGCACACTTTCAATCCTGGCAGTGGAACTGCGCGAGGCCATCTGGTCATATGCACTCACCGACACCACGATCGTGTACCATGCAATTACCGAAACGGTGCCAATCCCATTGCTCGGCTGTTCCAAAGCGATTCGTGAGGAAGCCATATCTACAATACTCCGAGAGCGAAGCGTCACGTTCCAGACGCATGCTGCACTATCGGGCTTGCTCACGAATCACAAGAGCCAGCAAACAACAGACACGGTCAAGGATGCGATAGCCCCACAGAGTCCAGCTAGATTGCCGAAGAAGATCAGGTTGAAACTGTTCTCGGAGAACCAGAAACTGTTCAAATGTACCGAGAGCAATTGGCTGGAGTATACAGAGGAGGAGCCGAAACTTGCAAGGGAACTTGATGGTTGGCGGGAAGCGCTGCTTCAATATCCTATTACACATCTCACAACAATAGTCATGGACTGTAATTCCAGTCCCACATACCATGGCGGACCGGGCTATGCACTTCCGTGCATGAGTACGTTCGTAAAGCGTGTAGCGACGCGAATTCGCATGGTGTCAAAGGGAAGATGCCAAATTTTACTAGTCGCACCGCCAGGCACCGTGAAACAGCTCATCTGGCACGCTGGTTCAGCCTCCTTTCTGAGGAGCTGGACGCCAACCGATGACGGGTGGTCTGCAAGGAAGATTCAAGAAGCGCTCGACAAAACGGTCGTTGCGAATCCGTCAACACCCACACAGAGGAGCAGAAAGCGACGACGGACTACGGCAACGATTGAGTAATTTCTGTCAACATAGAGTAAACTTTTGTACATATTGTGAAAATCTTCACGTTCCTTATTATGACTTATTACTCACATACGAAGTTACTGGCACCATTGCAGGCTTATGAAGTGCGGTAGTATGCATTACTCAGGGCAAAAAACATCGTCACGAGTTTCCCCCCGAATTGACCTTCATGGCCAGTTTGCGAAAGCCCATCCGAAGCAAAAAAAGAATGCATGAGATGCTCTCCAGCGGGGAATTGAACCCCGGTCTCCCGCGAGTTGTCTGTGAAGATGACAAGCGGAAATACTGACCACTATACTACTGAAGATTGAGCAACCGAGATGGTTGAGTAGGTGATTCGATGGGAAGCGTTGAAATTACAAATATCATAGACCATATGTTGCGCACAGCGCAGCGAACGCTGCGGCGCCGACTTGCTGCGTCAATAGGCAAAAGTTCTGCGTGCTGAATGCCCAGGTGTGGGCGGCTAGCCAGCTCTGGAGGGGCTATTTTAGCTACGGCACATGGCATGCGAATAGACTAATGCTGCTTACATAAGCTGCTGCAATTATCTAGGATCCATTTACATTCTTTTCGAATTGGTATACTTGAATACTAAAGCTTGGCCCAAGACCATGGTACGCACTAGTTGGCACTATGCTCAGACGTAAAGCCCCGCTTGAATCAAACTTGGCTGTATTATGTGTACGGACCAGAAGTGGGTTCTGTTCTGCCGCGCCCTGCTGTCACTCTCCTCTTTGATTGAGACCTTCCGCCCGGGCTCATCCTAAAAAGGCCATGTACGCATAGCTCACGTTGCATATACTGCCTCACTAGACATATGTCATGTTTACGTATTTATACAGTAAGTCACAGTTAGTCTCCACAGGCATGGAACTGCGACTTTTTGTTGTGTTGAAAGTACACCCAGAAGGCTTTGTGCATGTAAGCGATCTGCCGTCACGAACATGCAACATGTGGATGAGACCAGGGAAACATCCATAGAACCATACCCATCACTGGGACAACGTACACACCGGCATTGAGACGGCACCAGGATTTGGTTTTCGAAGCATATTCATTTCTCGCCGAGTCGATTCGTCGTGAAGACTCTAGCTTTATTCGTTCATGCAACCCATGCTCATTTTCTTTCATGAGCTCCGAATCCCACAGAAGATGATGAACCGAATGAAGTAAAACTCCGAACCAATTCACATGCACCACGCTCTTCAGTATCTCATGATCTATGCCTCGGTGGCAGCGGCCTGAGCCTTGGCACCCCTGGCCTTGGTGGGCTTGGACTCCTTGACGGGCTTCTGGCTCTTGCGGATGGCGGAGGCCTTAGCAACGGCGTCCTGGCGGAGGTCGGGGCGGTAGTTGCGCTTGGTGGTGGAGTTGACGATGGCGGAGTATGTCCTACGTTGGTCAGCGAGCGGTCCTTTGATATGCAGTATCGGCGCAGTCGAGCGAGGACAGCCGTGACTTGGAGAAGACGTACTTGCGGGTGGACCTGCTGGGGCCGAAGGTGGTGGTCTGGATGGCAGATGCGGGCTGGTGGTGCTTGTCGGCCTTCTTGATGAGAAGAGTGACACCACCCTCGGGGCCGGGGATAACACCGATAGCCTATTCCAACGTTGTCAATACCGTGTCCTGTGTTGGTTCGCATGTGCGCGCGGCGCATTCGTGGTTCGTGGTAGTCGTACCTTGTTGGCAATGGAGCCCTCGTTCTGAGCAGAATTAGTCAATTATCCCCAAGAATACAACATCCACACATACCTTGCGGCTGTACACGTTCCTCAGGTTAAGAGGATCGCGCGAGAACTGGATACCGTTCGCCCTCTTGACGAGCGTGGAGCTGCGTCCCTCTGCCATATGTCAACCCCAGTCCCTCCCCAATGCGCGTCCCAGTCTTTCACTCACTGGTAACCTCCCAGGCAAGATCGTGCGAGATAGTGGTGGCCATTGTGTCTGTATGGAATGTGGATACGGACGATGTCGATTGCTTGACGTTGGGAAAGTTCGCCAATATTGAATCGAGGGCCCTCGTCTGCATTACCGCATGCGCTTAGTGCGTGTTTCGGGGATGGATCAACGTGCGTGCCGACGCCAAGAGCGGAGCGGAAGTGACGATGCATGAACGCGACGTGAGGCGGTGCAGCCGAGCGTTCTTGTCCGCGACTCCGTGGTTACAAACCATCGTTGTCTTGCATCAACCTCCCCTAATGCCTTGGCTTCAGAGGCCCTCATCTACACACTACCGCTGAATCTACTTCACATCCGTTTCTTTTGTATTCATCACCAACTCCTTTGTCGCGCCGAGCAGCTCCCTCCCGCACTCCCGAAGACCTCCGCTCTGTCGCATACGCTATAGACCTCTCGCGCAGCCTCGGAAGCAATCTTCATCATGGCCTACATCCTCTACTCCGTCTCGCTCTTCGTTCTGGTGATTGCGACAGGTATGTTGCCTTAGTGAACACCTCATGCGCCACACTGACACTGCGCAGCTGCCTATTTCACCCGGCACCGCTGGATACACCTTCTGCCTATCCCCGGACCCATCTACACGCGCCTCCCATCCTCGTTCCGCGACGACATCGAAGCCGGCCTTTCGTCCTCAGCGTTTGACCTGAGTGGGAACGTGGAAGCCGGCGACTCGCGCCAAGGCTTGGACGACGCGGGGAAGAAGGAGGTTATGCGCATTATGAAGAGACGCGGCTGCGACTTCGACGAGGCACGCAGAATATACATGCAGGAGAGGTTCAAGAAGAACAACATTGGAGCCGATGGGATACCCCGCGACCCCAAGTTTGTCAGCTTCTCATAATTGCAACGACTGGGTTCAATGGCGGTTTTCATTTACAGGGCTCTTTCGTAATTCTTTCTTTTGTATGGGGTTTGGACACATTACTACATTTCCTTTGTTGCCTTCAGTGGCCTATCTCTGTCTGACATGCTCTTGGCGGGTATCTTTCTGCGAGTACGGATTTGGACGCCAGATATCCTGTGTCCTCTATTCTTCCGAGTTCTGCGTCTTTCTTTCGCTGACCTTTCAGCGCCTTTTCAAATACACTTTTGATGTTTTCCCTTAATCGACTCGAAGCCTGGCGAATACCATGCCTCCCCATCGTGACGCCATCGTCTCATGCTGCTTCATGTCGATCAAAGGCCATGACTTCCGCGATTTCTGCGGACGGCTATTATACCGACAGGCCTGGTCCCCTGGCTCGCTGAAGTACTGGTTCTAGCATCTTGGAGACTGCTCAAGCTACAACGCCCATATTCAACGTGATTGTCATTGATCCCTTCGCGTCTCTTCTCTCTACCTCGGTGCCTGAGCGTAGCCGGGAGGCCCTCCGAAACCTGGGGGACCGCCGAAGGCTGGCGGTGGGCCGTTGAAGCCGGGCGGAGGAGGGAAGAAGTTCGTCGGAGCGCCGCTTGGTGGGCGAGCAGGCAAGCCAGATGGGGGTGGTGGAAGACCTGGATGGCCAACCGGAGCTGCGGAAGGAGGTCGGCCATAGCCTCCAGGGCCGTTGGGAGCGTAACCAGGAGGTCCGCCGGGAGGTCCGCCAGGGGGTCCATATCCTGCTCCAGGTCCGCTTGGTGCGCCGGGCATGCCACGTCCATCCATGCCCATGGCTGGTCCACTCGGTGCAGCACCTGGTGGAAGTTGGAAAAGATGTGCGGGCAGAGGTTGCACAGCAGGCGCAACTCCGTGGGCCTTGGCCTGTTTCGCGAGCATACGCTCCGCTTCGTCTCCGTGCCGCTCACCCTTTCCGTCTTTCTTGTATGCGTATTGAACCGTGATCTGCTTGCTCATGATGTACTGGTTGTGCATGCTCGCGATAGCCGCATCTGAGGATTCGAAGTCGCCGTAGGAGATGAACCCGTATCCCTTGGATGCTTGCGTGATGTCGTCGCGCGCGACCTTTGGCGCATTCACCAACGGCCCGAAGCGGCCAAATGTATCGTACAGTGTCTTTTCATCCACTCCAGGGTCCAGGTTACCAATGAACAGCTCTGCGCCAATCTCAACATTCTTCTGCTTATCTGCGGACGCCTTGTTAACACGTATCCGGCTTCCGTATAGCGCGACGTTGTTCATGATCTTGGGCGCGTAATCTGCTTCTGCTTCCGTGTGGAACTCTACGAAACCGAACCCTTGATGTTGGCCGTTGACGCGATCGACGGGCATGTTGACATTTCGTACTCGGCCGGCGTTGAGCATCAGCTCGTGAAGAATGCGGGGCGTGATGCGCTCATGGAGGTTTCCGACGTAGACTGTGGCTTCTTTATTCTGTTCCCTGCGCGTTCGTGAGTCCATGTTCACTACTTGTTCGCTACTCGGAATGCTGCAACTTACCAGTGACGCGCACTCGGGGCAGACATGTTGAAGGGCTGCTGTCTATAGGCTGGAAACTCTGGATCCTGGGTCGCAATAGAAATCCGGACGATTTAGTTGGGGTCGTGAGGCGTCGTGAATGGGGATTGGTGTTCAGGAACGAAGTGAAGGCGTCTCGAAGATATTGGAGCTCCAGTCTGAGCTTGCGCTAACACGCATGCGGCTAATCCCAAAACTTTGAGCTTTACGCATCATCGCAACTTCGTTCTCTGGGCCCGCCTTCACCCAATACCGCGTACAACTCGACCACCTCAACCCCAGGCCGACTGCATACTCAACATGTACCAGTTGTCAGAAGAGTCCAAGGTACGTCAATACGCCAAGTACAATCAGACCGGGCTTCCGTTGACCCCATACAGGAGCGCATCGCGCGCATCATCGATGTCTCCCGCGTCGCTATTCACTACGGCTACCTGCCTTTGATCCTATACCTCGGATACTCCCGAAGCGAGCCTAAGCCTTCTCTCATCCGGTGAGTACACCGCCTATTCCCGCCGTTCCTATACCAGCACGAGGTTCTTCTTCACAATGGGAAAGAACTTCGCCGGCTGTGGAAGTCTGCCTGGCGACTTTCGAAGACTGGAAGCAGACTGTAAAAAGGAGATTGTCGTATTGTTCCTACAAGATTACACTAAGGTCATAATGGGCCAGCCCGGCAGTGTCAGTGGAAGACCAAGGCATCTACGGGGATTATGGTCTTTCCGCTCTTCGAGTCGCTCGCTTCTGTTCTGAACCTCTTCCTCAAAATATCGCTCCATCATGGCCGATGTACTTTTGGGAACTTAGCTGACCCTTCTAGTCTTTTCTCTCCCCTCGCATAAACACCAAACGACGATATGACAACAACGATTTGCGATTCATTGTACAATACTACACACTCTAGGCGCATGGATTCTCGGGTATGATTTGGACCGTGATGGTTGGGAAGATGGGCTATACAAGTACCATGTGTTCGAAAATTCCTCTACTCTATCACGTCGCACGGAAGTCGGCAAAGCGTATCCCACAGGAGGCGGGATTTGTACATGTATACCAAAGTCTTAATACGAATTGACGGTACCCTGCAGGACGGCCGGTGCCATGGCTGCCCGGTCCGAGTGGTAGCCCGCTCTTTGCACCAAACACATTCGTCTTGCGCATGCGTGTCACAATTGCTGGAACTTGCGGAGTCTAAGCTTGCGCGCACGTCGGTCCTCATTGAGCCCAGCGCCGGTTGGCAGGTATTGGCAGCTACGCGGGGCAAATGCCGGTTGTGCGGTTGACGCCAATGGCGAGACGCTACCTGACCCACGTGGTATCCCGGTCGAGCATCGCGACCCATGCTCCTCCATTCTCAACCTCTGCGAACTGGAACACCCGGCCACCGGTCCCCACAGTACACGCGGGCACTCGTTATGGAGTCTTATATCCCAGGCGCACGGCGCTGGGCCTGCTCTAGTTTGTGCTGCGAATCTTCATCGCATAGCCCCCACGCCTCCCGTGTCCACAGTATATCGAGAGCTCCCCCGGATGTTCTCTACCTATTCTCTAGACCTTATGGACACTCCGAATTGCTATCCCCATTCCCATCCGTGCGCTGTCTTACTACCTGGCTGATTGCTCAACTTCGTGCATGACCCGTCATCGTCCGCCACCATGACCGTCCCCAACATTGGGGACATCTTGGTGCTGTCGCAGAAGGCTTGGAAGATTGGACGCACCTTTTCTGCTTGCCAAAAGAATGCGCCAGTGGAGCTTCAATATGTTGAGACGGAAATCGGCAGCCTCGCAAAATCATTGGCATCATTGGCAGAGACGCTGCACGCGGAGTCCGTGCGGCAGTTGCTACAGGACGCTGACCAGGAAATAAGATATGGCGTTGGTACCATCCTAAGGTCTTGTCAACGGACAGTAGATGATCTTGACTCGCTGATCGACCAATACCAAGTCATCAAGAAGCACCGCACAGTTGGAGGGTTCGCAATTGAGCGCTCGTGGAGCGATCTGGTATTAGCCTCATACAGGACGATGATCTGGACTCCCGAGGGCGGAAACCTCGCAGATCTGAAAGAGATGTTACAGACACATACGAACTCTATCGATGAGTTGACGGAAGCATTGCAAAGGCTAGTGCTGCCAAATCCATGTCACACATCTACTGACCATGGTGCAGCAAGTCTATGGCTCGAATGGACAGCACCGTCATACCAATGGCAGAGCGAGTCGATAACATGCACCACTCGGCTGGAAGCATCGATCAGCAGCTTGATGAAGTACATCGTATGGTAGAGGACCTAATGATCGCACCACACACTTCACATGTGCCACCCGTACCCGCAAAGAACCCTGCGCGTTCACCGACCACCGAAAACGCCGACCCATTGAGCCAAACGTATCATGCTTTATCTCCCCCAGAATCTTCACTCAGGTCACAAAATGTCAAAATATCTCTACCACGGATCCCGCAGCGCCCAGAGTCCCACGAACAGTCCTCTATAGTCAGATTCAACGATGATGCTCCTGTTCCGACATCTCCGGCGGATGTCGTGTCCGCCTCAAGAACATCCTCACCCGTTCAAAAACGTGTGTCGGAATTTAGCTTTGGCGGCTCATCTTTGCGATACTCCAGCAGTAGCTATGCATCTTCTGACGCTGGTACCAGCTCAGTCGGTTGGCAAAGTCCATCTTCGTTACTACCTGACTCTCGACTGAGCGGACAGTTTTCGACATCGACCAAGAAAACATCACCTCTTCCAAGGACACCGGAAGTATGCGAGCCGGGCCGAAAGGCTGACAATCGGCATCATACGCTACTCCCACCTCCGGCTATGAAGCTCGGCTCACTCTATGAACTCGAAAGAACACCTACTCAGACATCGCATGCCATGTTAAGCCCTTACCCTTCGTTGCAACCAGAGATCATGAAACTTCACAGAAGTTCAACCACTACCAGTCAAAAAGCCGCCTTCGAGAAGGAAGCCTTTCGAAACTCCGCCATTTTATGTGATGTGTAAGCCGTCTTTGCTCTTAGTCCGTTCTTCTCAATGTACGTGTTCAGTAATGCTAACTACAGATAGCCGCGGTACGCTCGTCGAATACTCGCACCGGATAAACCAGGACGACCCAAGAGACGTCGAAATGATCCAGGCTTCTGAAGAGTGCAGAATCGCCGTAGTACGGAAACGCATAACCGACCCTGAGACGAAGGCAGTGCGCGTCGTGACATCCGTATGGGCGTTTAGCGACGACAACACCACCCGCGTGGAGCTACGTATGGAAGACGACCAGATGTACATACCGTACTCCAGCTACTTCAACCCAGCCAAAGCCTCCATCACAGTTCTCTGCGAGCTCATATTTCACGACGTCAAGCACGGCAATCGGCCAGTGCGTGTAGAAAAGACTAGCTGGGTCAACTACGTCTTCGACTCACCACAAGGTAGACTACCGAAACAGCATCTAAGGAAGAAGACGATGACTAACTGCATACCCAGCGGCCGCACTCTTCCAAAACGAACTTATGGGCCGCACTCTACTCGCGACATTCCGCACAGAGAAAACAATGCGCATCCACGAAGGCCTCTCCAAATCCTTCTCCTACGCCGAGCAAATGTGCGGCCTGGAAAACCTCCGCGTCTGGGAAGACAACGACACAGGCGCCATCATCGCCCTAATCCATTTCTCCGCCGACTTCCGAAACGGCTACTTAGCCTTCTACCTCAACTCCTCCGTCAACCCTATCAAAGTGAAAGACGGCGGGGACAGGGAGGTGAAGATCAAAGGGCTGAGAGTGCCGATTGATCGAGGCGATCGCGCGATGAGGAAGGACAGTTTTGCGGAAGCTGCCACTGCTTCTGTTACAGGGAAAGGTAAGGAGAAAGTGGGGGCTGGGAAGAGTGTGGACAAGGGGAAGGTTATCAGCGGGGCGAAGATTGAGTTTGCGACGGAGATGGAGAAGAGGGAGTTTTTGGAGATGTGTAGCGAGATGCAGAGGGAGTTGATTGAGTTGCCGGATTTGTTGGGGGTTAATTGAGGTGTCGATCCAATTAGACTTTGCCGCTATAATGAGCTCACGATGAATCGCTCAAGCGTGCGCCCTTCCGGATCCGTGTCCTTTGGGCTTGCTCATCCGATTCCTGAACACCAAGGCAGAGCACGGCCTACATAGACATCGGGCTTCTTCTACACCACCTCATTGCATTCTCTTAGAGAGACATATTCCTTAATAGTCTCCTGTTGCAAATGCCGTAAAGGCAAGTCAGCTCTCGGATCTATTGTTTAATGTTAGAACATTACTCTCAGATTCGGTTAGTACCTCCCAGACCTAGTGTCCGATATCAGACAATGCTCTCATCTGTACACTCATTCAAAGTTCCCAATCTCCTTCCCTCCAAAACTTGTCGTAGACTTCTTCAAAGTCTTCGTCCAGGTCGTAGCAACCAAACACAAGCGCTGCTTCCTCAGGAACGTTCTTCCTCTTTCCAGACCACCGCTGAGCCTCAATAACCCGACGACGCCCCCATTCTTTACTCTCGATATACCAGCAGATAGCTTGCCAATGTGCCCTTGGTACATTTGTGAGTGTGGAGATCCTGACATAGTTATCCCCCATCTGTTTGGACGTCCGGGGCCCTGTCATTTTACTGAATTTCTCTACTGCAATCCTCGTATATCTCTCGGTATCGCCACCCGTGGTCAAAGCAACATGAAGCGCATACGACCTGTTGTCCAGCACCCAGGTCGTTCGGCGGCGAGTCCGAAACAGGAGTCCGGATTTGCGGATGAAGTTAACGAGGTGACGGACTGATTCTCCCAGCGTACCGCCCTCCATCATGTATCCGTGGCGGACGAGGAAGTCATGTGCGTCGTATGCGTACCTCGGGAGAGAAGCGTCAAAGTCATCGTAGTCTTCTGTCCGGAGGGTGGCAAACCAGTCGAACGTCGCTCTGATAGGCCCTTTCTCGTCTCCGATTACTCGTAGACTTGAGGCGTCAGTTTCGATCCGCGGTGTGACGCTAGTGATAAAGGGAGCTATCTCCATGGCGTTTTGACCCGGTAGAAGCTGTTGTGTGGTCTTGTGGATAATATCTGTGGCTTCGTTGTTGATGGTCTTGCATGTAGCGAGGATAGCTGTGGGCGCTGTGTACGTGATAAGAGTGAAGCTGTTCGTGGTCGTTCCGTCCTCGCTGGAGTTGACGTATCGGGTATGGATGGTGCGGTTTGGCATGAGGCTGTATACCATGAGTCGTAACTCGACAGGCAAGTCGAGGAATCGGAACGGTCGAAGCATTGTGTTCGTCGAGACTATAACTGCTAGCGCCTTATACATGTTAAGTAGTTTGTTAGATAGAGGACTATGACGAAGAGTAATTAGGAAAACACAAATTAGGTCTTTGAGCCCGCGCCTTGGCGGTTTTGTCTTCACCTTCACTCTGCCTCCAACTTCGCCCTCACCTACACAAAAAGAGACTAAAACAACACTACCCCAACGCTCTAACCAAGCCTCAAACCAACACCTCTACTTAACCTTTAACAAAAATACATATAACAGTAGACTTTTAAGTAACCCTACCGGTTGTGTTTCTCTAAGGTATACTGTAGTGTAGGCTTCTCTTATCTACATACAACAGTAGACTTCTAAGTAACTCTGTGTGTTGTGTGCATCTAAGGTATACTGTAGTATAGGCTTCTCTTATCTACATACAATAGTAGACTTCTAAGTAACCCCGCAGGTTGTGTTTATCTAAGGCGTACTATAGTGTAGGCTTTCCTTGTCCACATGTCACCCTACTTATCCACGTACCAAAGGGGGGGATCAGTACCCAGAAGTAAGCGCCAAACCTCCCACTGAACTATCCAATGCTTGTGACATTAACAGATAGAACAGTGGTATGACGTATGGTCAAAGTGTGAGAAGGCTGGGTGATGTTGATGGAAGTCGCAGAGCGATGACGATGTTGCTGACCCAACACAAATGGCAGTAGCGCCCCAGCATACAACAACCCCACCCTTCATCTCAACACCTCAAACATCCCCAGCAGCCAACTTCATGATTACGACTAACTTCAATAGTTCTTCAGCTATCTGCGTGGTATCAACGTCAAACATGCAACAAGTCGCGCGCCTTACTCCAAAGAGCCTAACCAATCCATTCAATTCCAATTCATCCATATCCTCCATCCTAGCCGTGTATACCACCTCAATAACCAACTTAACAGCGGGGACTCAGGACTCCAAAACCAGCCACTGACTATGCAAAAGAACCATAAGAAAAAGAATCTACCAAACGATACACCGCTGAGCGATCTCAATATCCAATCCATGCTATTATCCTATCCAAACTCTTGATGTGGTTTCCCGGACGGCTGGCTATACAAACGCCGGGGTAAGAAGAACCCTATGCTCGAGATCAGTCGTGTTCTACTCGCCGTTGACCTCCGGCTCGGGAGCGGTGCCGTTGGCGCGGTCGGCGCCCATGTACCGCTGCATGTATGTGATGTAGTCGAATTTGGGTATGTCGCGGTCTTCTGCCATATCTGGGCCTTTGTGCTCGGGCATGGTGGAGAGGAGGTCGTCGATGACTTCGTCGGGGACGAGGGAGTGGCGGAGGTCGAGTTCGGTGACGTATGGCTGGTGGGATATTAGTAGCTGGTGAGGGAGAAAAGAGGGAAAGAAACTGGTATAGACTGACCTTGCCGTCGGCGACCTCTTTGAAAGACTCAAAGACTTGCTCCGCGGTATTTTGATCCTCGGTTTCGTCCACCATGAATCGGATAAACTGCTCGAATGTAACATAGTCTTTGCCACCACTAGTTTCGCGGAATCTCTCGTGCATTTCTTCTTCGTCGTATACCAAGCCCAAACTAGCCAATGCGGCAGAGAACTCCAATTCTGCTAACGAATTCGACACATCGCGGTCAAAATGCCTGAATACTGATTCAAACTCTTCAAGCTGTATTGGGGTAAGGTTGGTCATGTTACGTGCCACCATCTGGTTCTCTAAAAAGGCAAGCTTCTTCGATACCGAACTGCGGACCAAGCCCAGCTCGTATTCTAGCTCGTCGTATGTGTATGTTGTGAAGTCGTTCTCCTCGATGTTTGCTTCGGCGCATTGCTCGTCGATGGACGCTATGAGGTTGAGGTATTCATCCAGGGGTGCAAGCGACTTGCTGATCTCCTTTGTGTGCTCTAGCTGGTCCTCAACATCGCCTTCCAACGCTGATATCGATGTAGAGAGTGTGTTGAGGGCCAGGGCAAAGTCGTTTGCTTTGTCGGCGAAGGATTTCCGCAGAGCGTTCTTGATGTCTCTAATTGTCTCGTTGATGACCTGGGAGCGTTGTCTCTCGGCCTTCATCAATCCCGTCCAGGCGCTGTCCAGTGCTTCGAGGCTGAGCTCCGCGGGCGGATCGTACGGTCGCAACCGGTATGTGGCCAACTTCGTCCTTATATTCCCTAGTAGTCCCACCAGGTCCGACTTCTCGGCTACCCATGTTCGCTTGCTTTTGCGCTTCCAGGCGGTGAACTCGGTCGACTGGTTCCTAGCGTCTGCGTATGTCCCGTCGAACTTGGCCTCCTCCCATTGTGTGCGCTGCTTGGCGATCTGGTCCAGCAGCTCGCGCATGCGTCGCTCGAAGTCGTTCTGCATCTGCCAGGCTCCCTGCATATTTGCGACGAACTTCTCGACTCGCCGCCCAGCATTCTCCACGCGCTCCATCTGCGAGAAGGCGTGGAACCAGTAAGCAATGTATGTCATGAGTGAACGCTCGTCGGGCTTCGCGACGTCGCACACGTCCTCCACATCCAGCAGGTCGGGGATACCAATCTCTTTGGAGGCGATATCGAATGCAAGCTGCATGTTGCCGCGGTGGTCGCTCTTGTCTAGGCTGTCGTAGTCGATGAGATCGGGACGGTGGATGTCGAGCAGGGCGCAGCTGTCTGTTGTTAGCCCAGTCTCCCACCAAAGAGTGCTCCACCTACAATGCCAGTCCGTCGTTCCAGCTCGTAGAGAAGTCACGGACTTCAACCTCATCGTAGCAGGCCGTCTTCCGCTGACACCACAGCAGCAGACCCTCCTTGGCACTGAGACCCTCTTCGTTGATGTCGCTGATGGTGAAGCGCAGAATGAGGGTCCATATCAGGCCCAGGATGATCTTGCTGTTGCCGTCGACGACATCTTCGGCACCGGTATTGGTAAGCTGGATCCTCCGACTCCGGATGAAGTCGAGCGACTTGTTGACGTTCTCAAACTTCTGCACGCGCAGCTTGGGTCGGGAGGCATAGCGGCCGAGGGATTCGTTGCTGAGGATCTCGAGGAGGTGTATGAGTATGATCTAGGGGGCGTTAGGACGTGATGCGGGGAGAGGCCATGTTGGGGGCCAAGCGGGGCACGTACACCGTCCGAGAGGTCGATGATGAGGTCCTTGATCTCGACTTCGCGGATCTTGAGCTTACTGTTCAGCCTGCAGCGGTGTGAGTAGTAGTGTCGGGGCCGGGGCGGCGGCGGGGGTTGCAGCGTACCACTTGGTGAATGTCTTCTGCTGGACCTTGACCCATTGCTGTTCAAGCGGCGCCATGATCAGTGTGCATCAGGCCTCTCACTCGGACTGGGCGCATGCAGGTAGGAATATATTTGGGTGGATACGGGATGCTAGCTGGCGACTACTCGGGCGTGTTTTCCAGAGTCCTGGCCCAAAACAATGAATGGCTGACTGCGGGCGCGGCTTCGGCTGTCGCTGCACCCCTGTCCCAGTAGCGGGGCCCCTGGATCCACACGGCCTTGGGCGCCCGAGTCGCCTCTGGTTGGCTGGCTGCGACGACACGCGATATCTGGTCTACAGTCTCTTCGTCCAATGCTTGCTGAGACCGAGAGACAATGCCCAAGATACCCTTGGAGTAGCGCCTGTATCTAGTCTATCTATCTACTCGCATCCGCTTGCCTCGTGGCTGCACCACGCCGGGTACAGCAGGCGCCACACGCCATAGTGGTCCTTCATCGCTCTTGCCTGCATCATGGCTGGAGACGCGTCTCAAGATGCCGCGTCGCTGCCATATCACGAGCCGGGCATCGTTGTCATTCTCGTGCTCACGTCTTTCCTCCTCCTCCTTAACGTCGTCAATGCTGCTCTCGACAGGGTGCTGTACTGCGGTCTGCTGGGCCAGGTTTTGGTTGGCATTGCATGGGGCACGCCAGGTGCCAAGTGGCTATCCGAGAGCTTAGAAGAGACGGTCGTGCAACTAGGCTATCTGGGATTGATACTGCTTGTCTATGAAGGTCTGCATGCGCTGCATCGCCTAACCCAACCCATATCTGTGGCATTGACTAACGCTCGCCAGGCGGGCTTTCTACTTCGTTCCAATCACTGAAGGCAAATCTGCTTCTATCTTCTGGCGTCGCACTCACGGGAATTCTAGTTCCTATCGGGCTCTCGTACACTCTGCAAGGCTTACTGGATGCTAGCCCAGTACAAGCTTTCGCCGCTGGCGCTGCTCTATGCTCCACCAGCCTGGGCACAACCTTCACGATTCTCGGGTCGAGTGGCTTGGCTACCACCCGCCTAGGCGTCGTCCTCACAAGTGCCGCTATGATGGACGACGTCGTGGGGCTAGTCATGGTGCAAGTAATCTCCAACTTAGGTGGCGACAACTTCAGCTGGGTAACAGTCGTTCGCCCAGTCCTCGTTTCGGTTGCTTTTGCGGTCATCGCACCTCTTGTCTGTCTCTTCGTCGCGAAGCCTTTGACCGCATGGCTGAACGTGTACCGCGGGGCTCACCCGGGCGCACATCTGAGCGCCTTGCTACAGCGAACACAAACAGCCTTCGTGATCCACACGCTGGTTCTCATTGCTCTTGTCGCGGGAGCTACATATGCGGGCACATCGAATTTGTTCGCTGCGTATATCGCAGGAGCTAGCATTAGTTGGTGGGACTCTGACGTGCCCCATGCTACAAGCACTTCAGCTACGAATGCTGTAGATGAGAAAAGACAGGCAACTGTCGGTCCAATGCTTGAGAGCTCAGAAGGCTCGTCTCCCGATGCGTCAAAGACCACAGCAGACCAAAATCAAGGAGCAATTCCGTCTCGACCCACCGACATGGAGAGTGAAGAGCATATGGTTGCGACCGGTGGTGCAGCCATCTACGAGCAGTACTACCATCCCGCAGTGTCGAAGATCCTACAGCCGTTCTTCTTCGCGTCAATCGGCTTCTCGATACCCATCACACGAATGTTCAGAGGCGCGATAGTCTGGCGAGGCATCGTCTACGCTGTTCTCATGACCTTCGCAAAGCTTGTGTGTGGTCTCTGGCTCGTCCGGGTCTCCATATTTCCAGGCAAGAAAGCACCCGGCAGATTTTTGTCCAAGGTGCGCCTGCCTTCGGTGCCTCACCTGTGGGGAAAGAGCGGCGGCGCACCTCCCGCGCAAGAAGGAGTCACTTCAACGCAGGCAAGAGCTACCCCATCGCGAACCCGCCCGATAACTTCACCAAGTAGTACCGAAAGCGAGGCCCGATCTTCGCCCAATCCACCAAAGCCCTTTTCGCTGCACCCGCCACTGATCCTCGCCTTTGCAATGTGCGCTCGTGGAGAGATTGGCTTCCTAATTTCCGGTGTCGCCGAGTCCCAGGGAGTCTTTGGAGAGACTTCAGGCGAGCCAACCGACATGTTTCTTGTCGTGACTTGGGCCATCGTTCTGTGCACTATCCTGGGTCCTCTGGCTGTTGGACTATCCGTTCGCAGGGTAAAAGCACTCCAAGCGCGCAAGAACAAGGAACAGGAGGGCGCGGGCAGGGACGTTTTGGGCGTTTGGGGTGTAGGATAGACTAATCTCCGGAGTAAACCAAAGCTATCGAAATGCGGTCGCAACATGCCCGGGCAGGTTCAGTGCGCTCGAGTTTTTGCTGCAAACTGTTCACTTTGTGCACATGTGCCCCTGTTGTCATGACGTGCATCGCCGGGTGTCGCGACAGGGATAGCGGCTGTAATGGTGGGGTCGGAGGCGGGCATCATCCAACAGACGGTTGAAACATGCTGATTTGTACTCGGTGTATCGAGCGCCGTGGGACGTGAAACAATAGGACATGATATATAGTGGTCGCCGTCGCGATACCTTCCCATATATACAGGCGACCATGTGCGCAGCTGCAATGGATGCATAGTGCGAACTGTAAAAATGTAGACGAACATCAATGACATTTGACACAACGTGAAATCCCGTAGTTTGGTAGAGAACCCTTCTTTTGCACAAGCAGGCAAGCAGCCACCGACGTCGCGAGCGGCACGGTTTCTAAATATGCACCGGTGGAGGCTGTGGAAGGTTTTGGCGGCCAGCCAGAAGGGTTTCAGACGTCAATTTGCCTTCTTCTGAAACGCTGAACAAGATGGTGTACTTGCAACCGCCGGGCGATCAAGCCGGACCCTCTGCCGTTGTCGCGCCTGTCTGCTGATGAAACGTCTGTAGTAGACTCATGCCGCTGGTAGTCCTCCGCTGCTCGAGTGGCAACAGCCAATGAGTGCACATCGCGTTCCTTTCAGGCTCGACGTCCGAAGAGGAGTCGAGCGCACGTGAGAGAAAGTTCCGTGCCGGATGCTAGCGCGCCAGTGCCCAAAGCCAATGGTGCCAGGAGAAAGGGTTCCACTCCAGGCCCTACCACGACTGCGTGCACCAGACACGACTGCGCTCTCGCCCGCAGCCTGCCAGCTTCTCCTATTTACCCTGCGTGTGCAGTTTTCGAATGTGGCATCCTCGCTGAAGACGACTCGGCGCGACGCTTTGCGATTTGGATTGGCAGCAGCGCCCGCTCGCTTTCAGGATCAGGACTGGTATCCCGCTCTGCTGCAGCCCGACCCTCGCATTGCTGCTTACTCGACGCGACCCCCATCTCCGGACGCTGCGTCCTCGACACCACCCCAGCGCCCTCTGTCTCAGTGAGAGTTGACCCAAACCTCGCTCAACATCGCCCCGCCACTTACTTGCTCACTCCATTGAGCACGGGTCCCCCGCTATTCACCACACTCACCCTCGACTGCCTGGCCGCACCAGAGGCAGTGAACGACTCACGAAGCTATTGTAGCTATTGTATAATTCGACTGTTGTTGCTACAACGATAGTCTGCCCATGTGAGTCCCCTGGCGCTCCTTCCTCAGCTGTCGTCTGGCTGCTCCAAACACCGCTTTTCAACCCCAAACGGCAGCAGCGTCACCTGCCCCGTTTCAATCAGACTGCCACTCGCGAGACCGGCCGCTGACCACATTGCTCCAGCATGTATCCCAATGGACATTTCGAGAACACCCGTGCAGCACCAAAACCACCCCCACCCAAACCCACCACCGAGCGCAACCTTTTCCCCGACACCAACCCCAACATGCCGGGCAACATGGTCGGCCGGAGTATGCAGTCGTCTGCTTTCAACAACGGCTCGCAAATGTCGCTTGTACGCACACAGTCCGAGAGAAGCGTCTCGACAACGGCCACAGTCAAAGAGGGCATGGTCAAGGTCAAGGATGCAAACGTGTTCAGAAGTATGATTTGGGCCGAGCGGTGGCTGGTACTGCGCGAATTCGAGCTGAACTTTTTCAAGAGCCCTAATGCCTCCAAAGCATCAACCACGATTCAACTACGAGACATCCTCGGCGTGGAGCGATCAGACACGCAGCCTTTGTCCTTTGAAATCACCAAGGCTGCCAACGCCAGCAAGGGCTCGTCCCCGCCCCGCGATGGCCCTACAAAGATCATTACATGCAAGGTCGAGACTGACGATGACGTCTACTCGTGGATCGACAGCATCTACCAGCGCTGTCCCAGCATGGGCGGTGTCAGCAACCCCACCAACTTCACCCACAGAGTGCACGTAGGCTTCGACCCTAACAGCGGAGCGTTCGTCGGTCTGCCGGTAGAATGGGAGAAGCTTCTCACCGCATCTGCTTTAACTAAAGACGACTACGCGAAGAACCCCAAGGCTGTTTTGGAAGTTTTGGAGTTCTACACCGAAAAGCTTGTCAAGCGCTCCGAGGACCCTCAGCAATACCCGAGTCTCACTCCGACCCCGCCAACAAATGCTGGAATGGAGAAACAGCTTGGATACGGTGGCAGCGGCAATTCCGTTGCGCCTCCGCGCCCTGCACCGCCTGGCAATTATCAGCGAAAAGACAGCTACAGTCAAGGCTATGGCGGTCAACAAAACTCGGCTTCGCAGCAACAAAACCGCTACGAACAGGATCGCTACGAACAAGATCGCTACGAACAGGACAGGAGGAGGCAAGAGGACCAGGTCAGGGCACAGCGCGAACGCGAACTCCAGCGGCAGAGGCAGGAGTACGAGCACCAACAAAGGCTGCAGGCTGAAGCTGAAGCTGATTGGGAGAACGATATTCCAAAGAAGGTTACTCCAACGGCGAAACAAGAAATTGGCGGAGGCGGCTATTCGCGAGATCATAGCCCGTCAGGCCAGAGGTACAATCCCAGCCGCCCTGCGCCATCCACTCCCGGTGCAAGAGGCCCACAGCAGCAGCCCCCGCGGCAGCCAGTCGCACAGCGTCCAGCACCTTCTGCACCTCAGCAACAGAATGGTGGCTACA